AAGGCTACCGTTAAAGTGAAAAGTACACTTTTATGACATAGGAACTTTTGAAAAATTTGAAATCACAAGATTTTACCAAAATCAACAGCTTAAAAAACGAACGACTTTTCAACTTTATACACAACCATTCCACACGATAAATAAAGTACAGAATTTTCGATAAAATTGACAAGCTGCTTTTCAATAAAAATGGAACTCATAAATTTACTTACCTTGGGATTGGTCATTTGCAAAATTATTTTGTTGACATCAAAAAGATGCTTGAGTTTCTGATTGACAATATCTATGGTGTTTTAAGAGACCAGGTCTTCCAACAATCTATTGGAATTCCCATGGTTACCAATTACGCCCCGTTATTAGAAGACCTATTTTTGTATTCATATGAAGCAGAATTTGTGCAAAATCTTATGCGTGAAAAGAAGAAAACACTTGCTATGGCCTTCAACTCGACATTTAGATATATCGACGACGTATTGTCAATTAACAATTGTAATTTCCATTCTTATGTCGATACGATATATCCTGGTGAGCTTGAGATAAAAGATACCACAGAGTCTGACACATCTGTTTCATATTTGGATATTTTACTTGAAAAAGACATTAATGGTATTCTAACTAACAAGATCTATGATAAACGTGATGACCTTAACTTTTCTATCGTCAACTTCCCTTACTTATGCAGCAATATACCTCCATCGCCTGCATACATGTACGAAGCAAATACAATTAATCATTGAGTCAAATCCTGACTTACTTTTTTCATGCTAATTGTTAGTCCATTATTCATACACTGAATAAACTGACGACAGATTTTCCCGTTATTTCTCGATCATGACAAGGAGCACACGGTGGGCAGGTGTGACCGGTCGGTAGGGCTTACTCCTCAATGGCACCTGATCCAACCTCCGACCGTTTTGGGGGCCCGTGTTTGCTCTGTTCCTATTCTGTATTGTTTAAAGGACTTTTGATCTTGAATACTGTCCGTTATATCCATATGTTTCATCCCACCTCTGATGTTTTGGAGGTCCTTGTTTGCTCTGCTCCTGTTTTGTATTGTTTTATGGACTTTTGATCTTGAATAATTTTCGCTATCTCCATATGTTTCTTGACAAAACATTCGCATCTTTCCGAGAAATAATTTCCAACTTCCTTTGATGTCCCTGGCATACCCAACAACATTTACATTCACGTGCATATGTGAAAAAATTGTAAATATGAATTCTAAAGATTCTATCTAAAGGATTATAAATTACATGAGGCCTCTCATGTTAATTTTAATCAATAGTATCCGCCAATTGACGTCAGACACAAAGACAGCAGCATGAGACTGGCATGCATATAAGACCTTTCACTTACATTCTGGTTTAATCATTAAGAAATCAACTCATTTAACTCAAAGTGTTATCACAGAGAAAACAATTAAAAATGTAAATGTTTATGCATACAATGTAATTTTCATATGTTCATTTTTGTTGCACTACGCGAATTTCAATGAAGAGGAGAGTCTCTCATTCAGTCTTCATACTTACTTTTCAATACCAATTCACTTCTTTCATCACAGAATAGACATAATAAAATACTATAAAAGCAAAGTATTTTCCGATGAGGTTATAATTCAGCGATATCAAATTGTTTTGAACAATTGGCGGTAAGAAAACTACGCGATTATTTAAGATATTCGTTATGGTTCTTACAGAGATGTGCATGGAATTGGTGAACTGTTTCATATGAGAGTTTATTATCAAAAGGTAATTATAACATAAAGACTTCTTAATATTGATTGAGTGATGGAATATATTTTGTTTACGTCCTATTTTAGAATTTTTCGCGAATAGAGAGACGTCACCATATAATGATGAAGGGCTTTCAGACCTTTACTCGGCAATCGGGGGCATTAAACACTAAGGGTTCTTTATCGTTGCACCGGCTACTGTGACAGACGGCCTCGGTTTTAAGGTCTCATCCTTAAGACCCGCAATTTTAAAGTTCCATGCGCTTGAGTTGAAGTAGTTGTTACCTATCCTTTCGACCTAGGCCAGTCGCGGCTGTGATTCGAACACACGACCTTTCGATGACGGAGTGAGCGCTCTACTGACTGAGCAAGTAGCAATTACTTTCAAACAAGAGTACACATTATTTAATTCTAAATTTGAAAAAAAGATAATTATTTGATATTTAAGGAAAAAAGTCCGCGTTTTCGAGAATGTTGCAGAATAACCTCGTAGGTCGAGAAATGTTGTTTGAAAGATAAAAACCCAGGCGTTAGCCGAGGTTTTTTATATTTCAAACAACAATTCTCGACCTACGAGGTTATTCTGCAACATTCACGACCGAAAGGACTTTATTTCTATTCTACTAAGCAGCTCTAAAAATACGACTGATCGTTTCTCTTTAGAGAAACGAATTAGGTCACTATGCTGCAATAACGTTGTTCCATTTAGCACCAGAGTGTAAATTTGTTTGTTACCTGAGATTAGAATGCAGACGATTTGTGCTTTCGCCACATTAACAATAGCCTTTCATTAATTATGAATCTGTTTGTACTTTGAAGCTTATATAGATAAATCTTTTTGAATTTACAAAAACAAAATCAGTTTCCTATTTTACCACTTTATTACTAATATCACGGAGTTTAAATATGGCATAGGGAGGTCCGTGAAACAGCCGCTTAGCTTTAGAAACCTGCAATATACAGTGTTTAGATCGCAAAAGACGCCACATCGATGTGGTCTAACTATGTATTTCATTCTTAAGTCAAAACGTACATTTCCACTGCTAAGGTTTGATACGTGTTTCAGATCTGATAATATTTTGATGACGTTCGTGATTTATTGGGGAATACTAGTAATGTTCTTCTTTGGTCTCGGCAATAATCGTAGAAGAATTAATAACTTCTATATTTTTGTTATTACATTTCTTATTACAGAGAGGACGAAGAAAATATTCTTGTAATTTAAAGGTCATTTTCCATTTGAAAACGTCAAGGATAATAAAACTAACACGATTGTTCTGTGTGTTCTTTTACTTACCGTGAAATCGATGCATAAGAAGAAAAATATAATTTACTGTCGTATTTTCCAGGACATAACTTTAAACTGTTATCATACGTCATAGCTAGGCATTTGTTTGCTTAAACCTCATTTTTAGGTACCTACTTCAGGACCTATTTTTCTCACCTTAAATATCAATCGCTCATAAAATATTCTGTCATTATATCAATGCATTTTGGAAAACAAAAGGATTTACCAAGAGAAATTTCAAAACTTTTATTACCTAAGCAATAATTCTTCTTGCATTGACGTCTATGGAAACAAATGAATTTTTGAAAATGAAAACATAAATACTAAGAATATCAAAAATGATCATTACGAATAGAAAAACAATTTTAAAACTTTTTTCACCGGATTGAAAATTTTTACTGAAAAAATCAAAGGGGGTTACTCTTCAAAGATAGGACAAGCTACCTTTACGGAATTTTTTCCAGTATAAGTAAATGACACTCTTACCAAGAGAATTTGAATGTTACTATTTAGTCATTAATTAGTACTTTACTTATTTTTTTAAATAAGGAAACACGTCCTTATTCATCAAGTGTTATAACAAATAAAGCACAGAAGAGCCTCTAGTTTTTAATACCCGGTATAAAACAAAATATACTAATATTTTTTTTTTAAGAGTCTTTTTTATTTCTTTATTTATTTTCAATGTATGTTACCACATTCTGACCCATGAAAATGTACTTGAAAGGTTCCAAATAATAGGTTTTTAAACAATATACCACCCATCGACAAGTGACATCTATAGTTTTTTTAAGCATTCAAATGAAAGAAAACGTATTACATTTTTTAAGAAAGTAGGGTGCTAAAGCTATAATCTTTTTGATTTAAAAAATAGATGAATTTGACATAAAACTCTGACGAAGGGACAGTTTCTTACCTTTATCATTGTTTCTTTTCTTCGCAGGGATAATGAATCAAACAAGCCTAGTTTTATTTTAATAATATATAAGGAGAAGGCACGCCAGTGAGTCACAGATATACAAATGCATCCGGTTAGCAAACTGTCGCAACTTTGGAAAGGCTGTCCATATCATTCATTCGCATAAAATGATAATACATTTTTAACTCGGTTCCGATTTCAATATTTACGTAATACACATAGAAATTTTGCAGAAAAGGATCTTTCAGCTTCCTATTGAACAACTGTTGCAAAATCGCATGTCCGGGTTGGTCAGACGACCGTCAATTTTTTTTAAAAGTGTACCACATAAATTCTTTCGGATCAATTCGAAACACTATTTAAAATTTTATTTTGTATATTCTGAGTAAGGAATGAAAAATATGGAGATAACGAACAGTATTCAATATCAAAGTCCATAAAACAATACAAAATAGGAGCAGAGCAAACACGGACCTCCAAAGCATCAGAGGTGGAATCAGGTGCCATGAAGGAGTGAGCATCCCGTGCCGACCGGTAATATCTTAACGTCACGGATACCAATTCACTGCTCGACTTTGAGACCGGACCTTCGGATGAGATCTAGACTTATAAACCAAGGACCTGTGTCGCATTAGATGATGGCACAAAAAGCTCAATGAACCTAAGTGCCGAGTATAGTAATAAATTTGCAGCCCTCCATCCGCAAGGTGTGGCGTCTCAGGATGAACGATTGTTTGTTCATTAACACCGAGTACGCAAAATTTCAAACACGTTCCATGTGACTGAAAAATTTTCTAGAGGGAGGTTAAACAACAAACAAACTCGCGTATGTTCGATACATGTATAACAGTGCGTTTTCCCTTTCATGACAAGGAGCGCATAGCGGGTGTGACCGGTTGCCAGGGGATGCTCACTGATGTTTTAGAGGACACTGGAATAGAGGAACACTAATTAAAGGCAGTTTGTACTTTTTTCGTTTTGTTTCATTTGCTTGTTCCATTTTGTATCGATTTATATTTGATCTTCACAGGTTTCAAGTTTAAATGAATCAAAAACAAATATCAAGATGCTGAAGATTTTTATCACTCAGTCTGTAAAAGTGCTTTGCATTTTCTTTACATTACATGAAGAAAGCTAACATTTGTCTGTAAAAATCGGTGCATTATGTAATTCTTCTTTTGTTAGGATCTTGTCACCTAAAAAAGAAATCAGCATTATAATACATAACAGAACACAATTCGTCGGTTATTATGATCCTATAATTTATTTTACATAGGTGCAGGTACATGTATATATTGAAGGGTACTTAACACAAACAAAAATTTGATGCAAGGATTGATATACATGTATTTTTTTGACTGATTTTGATTTGAAAAGACATAAATTATAAATCCCCGAAATATAAAGAAATCGCAGGTTTTCCTTGGTACTTAGATATGAGACTTTGTTTTGCTTTCTATATACCTACCTACCTACCTACCTCACCCGGAGGCACAAAGGGCAAGGCTTTCTATATAATTCTATACAAAATTTTGCACAATTTTTAAAATAATGTTTACTAAAAATATTGGCAGAATTTTATATATTTTGTCATAAGGTTAAAAATATTGTGCTTTCTATATAATTCAATATATTATTATATTATACAAAATTTTGCACAATTTTTAACCTTATGACAAAATCTTATAAAATTCTGCCAATATACTTAGTAAACATTATTCAAGTTACCAATTTAAATGTAAATCTATGAGAAATATTGCTGATTTCTGAAAAAAAGTGTTTGTGTTATTGATCTTTAATGTTGTGGAATTCTTTCCAATTTCTGATGATAAAAAAAATTGTAGACACAAATAAATGACTTTATGCCAATGATTATTCTTAACAATAATGTTCACATAATATTTATCTTTAACAATGAGCAAAACCTTAATCATATAACGAGATGAATTATCAAAGAAATAGTTGTTGAATTTTAAGTTTTTAAGCCACAGAAAACTTAAACTGTATTTTTTCGTTAAAACCCACAAATTCCTAATTAACCTACAAGTATGTTGTTGTGTCCATTCATACACATAATTTATCATGTAATGTAGAATGCAGATTGTTAAGAAAATTATAATTACCATTTTTGTCCAAAGAATGGAAAATATATTTGACGTCAATACTCTTTGTGCTCGAGTGCGTCAGCTCTGCAAATTCCTTCTTACTTACAGCCCCATCTCCGTCTTTGTCCCAAAGAAAGTTTACATGGCAGGGGCACTATGACTTCCTGGATATGAATGAAGAAAATAGTTTTATAGTATTTTTTTGCTCTTTTTGGTCACGATATTTTGGGAGTGTTTTTGTTTGTTTTTCTACATAATATATTTTTTCTTCCCATCTGGGAATCATTTTTGCAGTCTTTTGGTATATTATTTTAAAAGGAACTTTCACAAATAAAAAAATCACATTCTCATGATGTAAAATTTTAGATTGAAATGGCTTACAAATTATAAACCTACTTCAACCTGACGCTTTCTGTGACATTTCTGAGAGCAACACACGCAGCAAAGTTTGGGACAAACACTACCACACTGAAGTTTGCAGACTTTACTACACTTGCGGACTCGTCTCCAAAACCAGCCATTCGATTCATCGACAAAGGAAGTCACGACCAGCAATACCAAAAACACCAATGACAAGGAAATCTATAAAAGTTTTTTATATGCATCAGATCATAAATATGTTTATTTTTAGAATAGAAATGTAATGACTTAAAAACTAAATAATTGCTATTATAACGAAATGTCATACTAATCCTAACAGTTACTGGTTGATGTAGGTATTTCAACAATCCACATTTATATTTTTTATTTACTTACCTTATGAAATAGAATTGTAAGACTACGAAATATATTAAAAATACATGTATGAGTTAAAATGAAAAATATAAATGTTCGATTTCCAATAACGAACTCTAATAGCATGTATTCTTGGTCATGTTCTTTATATACTTTTTCATTTTTTTTAGATCTCCTGAGCAAAAGGCTCGAGTGAGATTTTCTGATCGAAATTTGTCCATTGTCTGTCGTCGTCGTCGTAAACATTTCAAAGTTTCATCTTCTTCTCCAGAACTACTGAATATAGGAAGAAACTTCCAAAATCTTCTTCAAAAGAACAGCAAAGTTATGATTGTTCTTATTTATATGGAGGCATCCTTAGTTAGTGTAGGTTCAATATTATTCAAAGCATGACCACCTGAGTAAGGTGGAGCCGCAATGGACGATCAGTTCTACAGAGGAATATATAAGAAAAAGCTTTAAAAATCTTCTCAAGAACACCAAAGCCATTGGTCATATGGAAGAATTTTCAGAGAGCGTAGATTCAAGTTTGTTCAAATCATGACCCCAGGGGTAGAGTGGGGCCACAATGAAATTTCAATTTTGTAGGAAAAAATCACAGTCATAAAGAAAAAAGTGTGTAAGCACCCTTAGTTAGTGTAGATTGTGAACGATGTGGCTTTAGGCCTATTGTTTCTATCAGTGTTTATTGAGTTGTAAAAAATCAACATTTTTTTCTTTACCTTTTTCATTGTTCTGTCTTTTGATGGTCTTCTAATGCTATAGTTTATACATGTTTTTCACGTATAAAAATAAGAGTCCTGTATTAATTGAATGTGTATTAGAACTGAAACAATTTCATTTAAAATCTCAAATACATTTCCAAACATAACATTACATATACATGTACACTGTAATGAACATTTAAGCAGTTATATTTGGTTCACCTTGCGGAAGAGCTAATTTTTAAGAGGCAAAACAAAAGCAAACTGCATTTAGTAAAAGACGTTTTTTTTTTGTTTTATCTATGTTTAACATAATTGCAAACGCTTTCTGATTCAAGCAAGGGCAGAACACATGTTTATTTTCATAAAGAATAAAGAAAAGAATTAGAAAACATTCAATGATTCAAATATCTTTGATAGAAAAATATTTCATATAAAAGTCTCCAAGTGAAAAAAAATCTCGGTATAAGATAGGAAGTTCATTACTATAATTCAAATCATTCCGGGGGTAAGGTTTCTAATTAAGATCAAAATTTTGTATCACAAACATGCTTGTTTAATTCACTTACATCCTTTAGGAAATAGAATATATCAATAGAGTAAAATAAAATTTTTAGAAATTTATAAAATATAATATGAAAAATATTTCAGAAACTGATTTTTGTGTGAGCAAAAAGAAAAATTTTAATCCTTTCTGTAGCTCTATTTCATTTAACATTTCAAAATACTAGGAATAGATATTGAATGTAGCTGTCTTTATATTTTATCCTATTTTTCTTTGATTCACAATTTTAAAGTAATGTATATCATTTGCCAAAACGATTTTAAGTGTGGTTAATTTCGCAATTTAAAGAAAGTGTTCACATATAACCGTCGTCTTGAAAAAATTGCTTGACATTGAACATGCTAAATATTGAGAAAGAAGCTTTTGCTTCCCCTAGATATTAAAAAGTATACATGTATATCTCTAGAAAAAGGTCTTACCTTAAATTTCTCTAGCTTTAAGATGTTGCATCTCGTGTTGAAAATCATGAGTCTTATATACCAAATGAAGGTTTATAAATTAGACTAAAAAATATCAAAATAAGTTTATGAAGTTAATTTCAAACAAAACCAGATGTAGATAAGAGCAAGAAATTGTTTTACGATACTTAGAAAATATTTTTTTTTATTTACATTTCCATTGTATATAAACAAAATTTCTACAAAGTTGTATACAAAGGATTTTTACCTCCTACACACACCTTCCCTTACATTCACTCACACATATCGGATTAAACTGGAATTATACGGAAAAAATTAAGGCTGCTCTTAGAATTAACTACTTCAATTGTTCACCAATCATAAAAAGCAATTATCAAATGCAAACATATTTAAAGACATTCAAATTACATTCAGATCAAAATAAACATGTCAATTTGATTCAAACATTTTCTTCCAGGAGTCCCATTTTTTATCAAAAAATGACAGTTTAGAGTTATTAATTGATACACACCTCTCAATATTATATTTCAATTTTAAATGATTTATCAAACCAAGAAAGTTTGGTTTTTTACATTGTAATAAGCAAGTAAAAATATATTGCTTAGTATATAATATGACAAAGTTTATAATTATGCTATCTTTAGTGAATGGCATTTCACCCAAAAAAATATTTTTGAAATTAAAACCAATTCTTTTAGTAGTTGTTCTATAGATATGCATACTCAAATTTCTCCATAAATCCACTACATCATAACAAGTTAATACATGTTGAATAGTTTCAGTATCCTCTTTACAAAAGTTACATGAATCAGATGTTTTTATATTGATTTTCTTAAGATAGTACCCGACAGGAAGAATTCTATGAAGAAGTCGGTATTGAAGCCATTGTACTGAAGAATCATTTGTTGTCTTGAAACACACTCGAAAAACATCTTGAGTGCATATATCATTCACTCCATGAGGAGACAACTCTGAATTCCACTTTGAAATTGCTGTAGGCTTTAAACAATTTTTGTTTATGATATTGTAGATAATTTTTTAACATTTTGTATTCGAAAAAATATATTTAAAATAAAAAGGTAAATAAGGTAGACAACTTTTGTTCAATATTGTTCTCTTAATAGCCATATTTTTAAAACATTTTGCAATGGCACTAATAACACTATTGTACTGCATTACATTTACAGTAGGAAGATTAAATTTTTTTTGAAAAGCAGACTTTGAAAGAAAAATGCATTCTTCAGACAGAAAATCTCCAACAGTTTTGACACCCTTCTGATACCAATTTTCTATAAAAATACTCTTATTTTCGATCTTAATGTTTGAGTTGTACCATATTGGAATATTACAAGCCTTAGTCTTTATGTCCATGTCATGTTCTACCTTTTTCATAACATATTTCCAAGAACTAAAAACATCCAACCAAAAAGGGTTATTCTTTGACATTATGACATTAGAAATGTATTCATCTCCATAATCTAAAATTTGTTTTATAACATCATTTCCATTAATTGCCAGGAATATATCAAACCATGGTTTGTTTGTTGCAGTCAACAGTCTTTTGACCCAAGTGCATTTCAAGGATTTCATAAAATTGTCAATATTTACCATCTTTAAACCTCCAGACAGATTATCCTGAGTAACTATTGTTCTCTTAATCTTATCACATTTTGATTTCCATACAAATTGAAAAATATCTTTATTTAATGAGGAAATTTTGTCAATGCTAGGTGCAGGAAGAGAAATAAATAAATGATTCAGTTTTGGTAATATTAGGGTTTTAACAACAGTGACTCGACCAATGGGTGTTAGTATTCGTCGATTCCACTGTTGAATCAATGATTTTACCTTAGGTAGAATTAGATCATAATTTATGTCAGTTATTGTTTCTAAATCTACTGAAAAATTTATGCCTAGCAAGGAGAAGGTTGTTGACCCCCAATCTAACTTCCATCTCGGGTGGTGAAAAACTTGGTTTGAAAATTTTTTTGAACCAATCCAAATAATTTTTGTTTTAGTACTGTTTATTTTCAGCCCAGATAACCGTGAAAAAAAAATCTAAAGTGTCAAGAGCTGTAAAAAGTGATTTTGGTGAACCATCAAGGGCAAGCGAAGTGTCATCAGCATATTGGGAAATTTTATGTTCTTTCTCCTGAATAATAATGCCTTTAATGTCTTTATTTTGTTTCACAAGAATAGCAAGGATTTCAGCACAGAGGAGAAATAAATAAGGTGCAACAGGATCTCCCTGTCTGAATATGTATTTGTTCAGATAAATGTCCACATTGCAGAACAGATGCTTTAAAATTTGTATTCAAAATTTTGATCCAATCAATGAATTTATTTCCAAATCCAAAATAATTTAGTACTTTGTAAATAAAAGACCATGATATTGAGTCAAAGGCTTTTTCAAAATCAATAAGAACTAAGAGACCTGGTATATTTCTCGACTCAGTATATGACATAAGATCATAAATAAATCATGTATTTTCCCCTATATATCTACCTTTGATAAAACCAGATTGTGTATCTGAAATAAGGGAATCTAAGGTAGTCTTTATTCTATAACTTAGGCAGCCAGATATAAGTTTATACAGCACATTCAATAAAGTTATTGGTCGCCAATTCTTTAAATATTGTCTTGGTTTGTCACCCTTTGGTATACACGAAATAATGCCAAGTCTTTGGGAAATTGGTAATTCTTGCTTATTGAAAATACAAGTTATTGCTCTGAGAATATAACATTTTAAGTCTTTCCAAAAAAATTAAAAAAATTCAGTTGTGAATCCATCACTTCCAGGTGATTTATTATTTTTCATATTTTTCAGAACCTCTAAAACTTCACTTTCAACAATTTCCTTTTCTAAGATGTTAGATGTTTCTTCATCAAGTTTTTTACTTTCAGATTGATCAATAATATCAGTGAGATTCAAATCAATAAGTTCAGAGTCTCTATTTGTATATAAGTTTTTGTAAAAAATCTTAACTTGATTTAAAATTTCAAACTGATCATAAATTGTATTACTTTCATCGATATCAACCCTTTTTATTACTTTGTTTATGTAGTTGCGGGATTCTAAATAACAAAAATATCTTGTGGGTTTTTCACCCTCTTCAACCCATCTCGCGCGTGATCTGATTAAATGACCTTGCATTTTTTCTCTTCTTAAATTTTCGAGAGATATTTTTTTATCCTCATAAATAACTGTGTTGCTTTTATTTTGTAACTCTAATTCTTCTATTTCTTCTACTAATGATTTTTCAAGTTCATCTCTCTTCTTTTTCTTATATGAGGAATATGAAATGGTTACTCCCCTTATTTCCATTAGAAGAACTTCTAAAAATAAACTGTCATCAATACAGAAAATATCATCAATAGATGTTTTGCTTTGTAGATATTTCAATTTTACTTTTTTAATTTCTTGTTTAACTTTTTCCACATATGTCATATCATACAGCAAACTATTATTAAATTTCCACAGGCCACACCCTCTCTCAAAAGAGTTGAACTTAAGTTCTAAAACTACAATAGAATGATCTGATCTATAGCCAGGTTTTATTGTAAAATTTTCTACGAAGTTGGATAAACCTTCAGATATAAGAATATAATCAAGCCGACCTTGCTTGCATGGATTTTTTTTCCTCCATGTGTACACTTTTTTTCTGGGTTCAAAATCCGGAAGTAATCAACAATATGAAGATCCTCCATAACTTCTATCAGTTTGTCTCTAGCCTTTGGATGGTTAACATGAGTATAATTATATGTATCGATAGCAGGGTTCAAAGCAAGATTTAGATCACCACATAGTATGAAATATTCATTGTCAAATTCCAAAAAAATTTCACGAATTTTTTTCATAAAATTCTGGACAGTCGAGATTTGGACCATAAACATTAATAAGAGTTAATCTGTTATCCTCAACTGTTATATCTAGAGCAACTAGATTTCCCTCACAATCCTTTTTTTTTCTTTATGGATTTTAAATTCAAAGTTGTTATCAAATAGGATACTAACACCACGTGAATTGGACCTGAAAGAACTAAAAATACATTTATATCCCCATTGAGCTTCTACATATGG